CATACCATACCATACCATACCATACCATACCATACCATACCACACCATACCATACCATACCAATCCATACCTACCTACCTACCTACCTACCTACCTACTATACCTATTTGGCACTGCATCTTCTAAAAATGCCCTGGGTCCACCTAACACTTCATCGTCTACTCTGATTATAGTGGCTGTCCAGAGTTTTCCTTTCTGAAACTCTGTTTCTTTCCCTGTCCTATTTGGAGATGCCAGGGGAAACTATTATTTTCTTTCAAGCTGGGGTCCTTTAGGATGAGATGGGTCTCTAAGCTGGAGGTGTGTGTTAAAGTGCAAAATATGTGTTTTAAGTCCCAAAGAGGTTTGATGTCAACATTGCAGCTGGGAGGCAAAGTAAGAGTAAAACATTTACAGTGCAGAAACCCTACAGTACGATCTGGTGGTATCATGAAGGCTGCAACACCAGTGCTGGTAATTGGATGATCAATCCCTGCTTAAAAAGAACAGTGGATAGATAAATGTTACATTAAGCTAAAGTTGGTTTCTAAGCAGTGAAAGTAACAACTAAATGAATTACATGAACCATGTTGTTTTCTTGGCAACAGTACAGTATAGAAGGTGTTTGCCCTTGCCTTCTTCCAGAATGGTTTTCCAACACACCAGTCTAGCCCAGAATGTCTCCCAAAAAGTACTAATCAGGCTCAAACCTGCATAGCTTCAGAGCTCAGACAAGGTTGGGTCAGATGCTACTACTTGCTGCAAAAGATATTACACAGCATCACATAGGAATAAATGTGCAAATTAGGTCATAACAACTTGTACTAATTTAGGAAAGGTCTCCATTAAGCTTGTGCTGATTTGGCCTATCATGTCCATCACCCTTCCATTTTCTATGTAGCAAAGTGTCCCTTGGAAGATCTGATAGCTTTAGACTCCATATATATGTCTAACATGGAGCTTTCAGCAAAGGTGAAAGACAAGAGTATAGGGTCCATCACTGAGTAGGATTCATCACTCAGATCAATGACAGGATATGTTGTTCCTGCAGAAGCTCCTCTCACCCTAGTTCAATACTTTGCATCTCCAGTTCAAAAGATCAAGGGGACAATGGGGTGATGAACCCTTGCCAAGAAGGTGGAAATTTCACACAATCAGAATTTTGGACCAGAAGGATAAATAGTCTCAATGGATGCAAATTAGATTCTAGTGTTTTCTACTAAAGCTTATGGTGGTATCATCACATTTTTTCCCCCTGCCAATGGTTACTAACAAGGAGGGGGGATGGATCCTACACATTGCAAAGGAAGGAGGACAATTTGACTTGAGAAGTTATGTTCAGCACCTGCCCTATATCAAGCATTATTTTATAATTTGGCTTTGGGGAAAATAGGGTTGTCTAAAGGCAGCTATATTCAGCTTCTGTCAGCTTGAGAGCACAACTGAGTGTGGTGGGGTAAGAGCAACACTTGAAAAGTGCCAGGAATTCATGTGGGGCCCATTTCTTTCAGCAATGTTAAGGAGTGAAATAAAAGTCTAAAACACCTACAAAGTTTAGGGCCCTCATATTAGCCTTTATAACCAACAACCTACCCCCAAATACAATACAAGGGGGCTGTAGTTTGTTCCAACCCTCAATGGGGGACTTTAAAAAAGGGATGCTAGTAGACTCTACTGGACTTATCGCACCCCTGACTGAAGGAAGGTCTGAGTTCTCAAGGTCAACAAGGCTTCCAGTATAGCTATGGACATACTGACCACTCCCCAACTGGTACTGGTTAGGCACCCTCCTCCTCCTGGCTTGTAATTTTTTTTGGGGGGGGGGAAATCTTTAAAAAAGAAAAAGAGAAGTTGACATGCAGTAAAGCAAAGTATTAGCCTCCAAGATCTTCTGCTCATTTCTCTAGGCTCCAGCTAGGCTGAACAGGCTTTCTTGAAAAATAAAACATTTTGTAAGCCACAGCTAGGGGCATCTATAGGGAAGCGTCAAAAAAGTCAATAGGGCAGCCGTGAGAGTGCACATCAAAAGGGGCTATTGCTGACTTTAGTGTTAGGGTCAGATACCGAAGAAGGAAGACACGAGGGAAGACACCAGGATGATTGCAATTATTAAAGATTTATTAAGTCCAGATATTTGCTATGTTGGAGAGATCCCGCCTTGATCATCTGCACAGAGCATATGGAGTAGCAAGCGTACAGAGTGACAGACCACTCACAAAAGGGTGGCTTTTGTTCAGCAGGTTTTATAGCCCTTCAACTTCTCTGCCCCCACTCCCACCCCCAAGTTGCTTAGTTTAAGCATCAGCAAGGGAAGGTTACGGATTAGTGAGGATTAACTACATTGTTAAGTGTTTAGGACAGTGTTTCTCAACCTTGGCAACTTTAAGAGGTGTGGACTTCAACTCCCAGAATTCCCCCAGGCA